GTGTGAAACGATAAACCTTAGAAAAAGTGTATTATATACAACAAGGCCAGAGATAGGTTGTAGTGTCGAATTTATAAAACTAAAAACAAGGGTTATTCATCGATGAACAAACAAACATCGTCTTTTCCTACTTGAGTCTTTTTTTTTTTTTTTTTTTTTGTAGAGTAGTCTTCTAAGACTTTCTCCTCAAATGTCACTTATAACTAAGCAGTTGCCTCCAGTGGCACAGCGGTATGTCTGCGGACTTATAACGCTAGAAATCGGGTTTCGATACCCGTGGTGGGCAGAGCGCAGATAGCCCATTCTGTATCTTTGTGCTTAATTCCAAACAAACAAACTAAGCAGTTGCCGCCGATTTCAACTTTTTTTGTTCAACATAAAGACTTTCTAAATCATCTATTAAAAAAAATTGTTCACTTCTTTAGTTTTTAGTAAATCATATTATATATATATTTGTTATTGGTGGAAAAAAGTTGTTTGTAATTTGCATATACACGTTTATTCACTTATAAAAAAACATATGTCTCAGACACCTTTTCATAGAGACTATAAATGTGTCCAAGACAGATGTTATACTTATGTGTTGTCTTTATAATGTTTTGATATAATTTGTATGTTCATTGTTAAGTACAAAACTACAAAATGGGCTGTCTGTGCTGTGCCCACCACGAGCATAAAAACGCGGTTTTTAGCGTTATTTTGGTATATTACTTTGTATCTAGTTTTAATGAAAATAGATTTCAGACATACTCGTATTTGATTATGTAATGGTAATAACAGCTGTACTTGAAACACATGCAGTAATTATCAGAAAGTAGCTTTGATTAGAAATATCGTATTTCAGAGGAGTTGATACTTGACTTTATATAACTATAATGAACAATATGGGCATCATCAAAACAGTTCACATTTTATCTGTTTTCTACAACTGATTATTCCTCGTTTAAAAAAGTAACGTCAAAGAGATAATCGCTTAACTAGTTGAAATAAAATAAATCCAGCCAATTTAAAATTCATTCTCAACCAAAAGAGAAATAAATCAACGTTAAAATTGTTCTTCATGAAGATAATTCAGTAACTTTGACCCTTTCACTCTCTCTCCGGATCGGGATTTAGGTCTTTTACGACCTGGGAGGGTCAGGTTCTAGTAGATCTCTTCCTCCCTACTGTACTGTTATTATATTTTGCTGTCTTCTTGGGTTTGGGTTTTGGTTGGCTGGTTTGATTTGTTAAATTCTATTACCACTTTTCTTTTCAGGGTCATGTCCGTTTTATGTTTTCAAGTTGTGTATGTGTGTAGCCTTATGTTTTTTCCTGTGTATCTGAGTTTGAGTTCTGTGATGTTTGTGGTAGTAAGAGTAATTGTGCTATCTGTGGTAATATTGGTAGTAGTTGTTCTAGCGCTATTTTCATGATTAGTGTGATGCAATCCTCTTGGTTTTGGGTGTTAGTATATTTTTCCAGAAATTTGTAAAATATGTTTGTGACTGCCACTGTTATTTTGTTTGTTAATTCCTCTGTTTCAGCATTAATGGGTTTAGTGTCCTTTCACTGCTCCGCATCATATGATGTTTTAAATTTTCCCGCTACCGTTTGAAATCCTGCTGATATTTGGTTATTACTCATACATAAGTTATAAATCATCCAATACCAGAACTTACAGTATTAACTCGATTAAAGTATTGACTGTATATTTAAAGGGTTTTTATGTAAATTACACTTTTGATAGCATGATCTTGAAAAGTGTTGAAATTATCAATGAACTGTTTGTGAAATGTTTTTACATTGACTAAATGAAGCGAAGTGGTGAAGGAAACACAAAATACTGTTTTCTACATTTATGGACATTGGCCCCGATAAGGGAAGTATAAACAGTGTGAAACAATGGATCTTCTAGCCCTGTTTACTTGAATTTATAAATATCATTTTTGCAGTATATTTCTAACACATAGTAAAGGAGGGAGGAAGAGGTCTAGATTAAACCTGACCCCCTCAGGTCTACAAATACCTAAAGCCCGATACCGACCGAACGTACCAGTAACCCATAAATGTCACCTCTTACTCCTATACATAGCGGGGGAAAATGTATATAATATAAACATTAGGCATTCACACGATAATTTTAGTGATTTATATTAGTGTGCTAAGTGTAATATTTGTACAATCAATACGATCGTGTTAATCGCAGCTGACACTGTGTAAATGCATGAGATAGGAGAGAAGTGCGATCCCACATCTGTAAAAACAAACAAAGTCCTGCTCGCCCTCCCATCTTATCTCGCGTTCAGTGAAGGTCGCCCTAGACCCAACCGTCTTCCCACTTTCTCCTCATTCGGCACACCACTAGGCACACACAGATGTTATTAAATGATGTTTTGGTGTTTACTTTTGCAAGTTATACTACGATTTTATAAGGACTTTTTTATCGCATGGTGTGTGGGTTTTCCATCCCACCTGAGAAGTGAAAGGGTTAAAAAATTTAGTAAAATCATTTAAACAAATCTTACCAACTCGAAAGTTCATCACAAGCAAATAAGATGCTAATTTCTTTGTGGTGTTTGGATGTTTTCATCATAAAACTAGATACTTTTTGTTTATACGAGATCGTTTTTACCGTTAATTTGTAACATATATATGTTTGATCAGCTCTTATCTATCAATGAGTACCATTGTTCTCTTCTAGTCTGTCATCACTCCAATATATTTTTTGTTCTCTAACTGAAGGACATTGTTGATTATTTTATTTATAATGTTTCATTAAGAACAGTGTGCTGTTATAGTACTATTATTAGTAGTCTGAGTTGTTAAAAAGTGACTTACTAGCAGTCCTAGTGGGTTAACCCTTTATCTCAATTGGTAGAGCATTCAACTGGCGTGTTACAAGTCTCGGATTCAAATACGAGGCGAGAAAAATATATATTGTTACGACTCCGTTTGTTAATTAATTTTCCGTAACTTCGTTCCGACGAAACTTTAGCGACACAAGTCCTTACTTAATAAAACTGGTTTATTCTTTCCGAATACAACTTTACGATACAGTCGCGCTATAACAAACGCTATATCTCATGTGGCCAACAATATTTTGTCGCATACATTCAATTACTCATTACACTGTTTTCGTCACGTTGTGACTGTCTTATATATATACAAGACTAACACATTCTTGAAGGAACAGGATATTTCTAGAAAACGTGGCGTGACACTTGTCACGTGACCCCGCTGACGCAGCACTGCCCCTTCCTTAGTATTGTTCGGGACGAACAATAGCCACATACAATAAACCAATAACAATTAACAATAACTTAATTAAATGTACAGAATTACAATCACAAAATT